CCCACTCTTCAAGAACCTCCTCAGACACATTCTACAGCCTTTGCTGATCCCCAGTTTCTGAAGTAAACATTTGTTCTCTCATTAAGTACCATCATCCTTAGAGTCCTTATCAATTATTTTCTCACTTGTTTAATCATCACTTCCTGAGGGCCTGTACCTCAAGTTTTTATCCCTCCTGGACTAATGGCTCAAGTTTTTTACTTCCCAAAGGAATAGCTTATACTTTTGAACATAGGAAGACCTTAATGCGTAACTTTTGAATGAATGAATAAATGAAGGAGGGAAGGAATGTTTAACAGCACAGAAAAACCGATTGTTAACTGAGACTCTTTCGTAAACATTAAATTTAGTCTGGAACATAATTACATGTAGATATTTTATGTTGTTAGTTCATAAAACAATTTTGCCATTGTTAGTCAAAGTATCTTAAGTGAGTGAGATATGAATAAAAGTCCAGTAACCTCAGCTTTGTTTTCTAGTACTGTGTTGTATTGATCTCTGTGTGGCTAGTAGCTACCATAGAGCTTGATATCTAATGCACAAAAAAATGCTTTTTAAAAAGCTTTCAAAGAATTAATAAAACTAATGTTAGTTTTGATGTTTAGGAACCAATTAAAACTTCTAGGCAGCATCTTTATAGTGACAGGCTAGGAATGACGTCACTTGTAAATTTTGGCCCTTTCAAAGTGGTGATAATAGATATATGATAATGTTAATAAAACATATAATAAGATTAGTAACTTTCTTGAGTATTTTCTTTGTGCCAGGTTTTATGCTTTAGATATAGCATCTCACTTAATTCTTTTGAATAACCTGGGACTGTTTTTATTGACAAGGAATTTGAGGCTCAGGGAGGTTAAATAACTTGCCTTAGGCCAAAGAGCAGGACGTAATTCAGACCCAGACTTGCCTAACTTCTGTGACCCTTCAGGTCTCAGTGTAGGTGCCATTTCACTCGGTTACTTTTACCTAATTTTCCAAGTCTAGATTAGATGCCCCATTGCAAACTATTTCCCTTGATTTAGCTTTTTTCAAATTGTTTTATATTTGACTGAGGGTCAATATCCCTTACAGTTCTTTCTGTGAAATCCAGGAGTACTCACAGCTGTATCCTTATTACCCAGAGCATGAAAAGGAATATATGGCTAATAAGCAATTTCTGAATTGAATGAATGAGCTAATGAGCCACTCACCTAGGTATTTAGGAGGAATTTAAATGTTTTCTGAAAGAAAATTGATGAATTCTGTGGCTGGATTCTTAAGGATGTAAAGTGGAAAGAAAACTAATTTATATAGCAGGTACTGTATTAATCTTTTACCCTGAGTATTTAATTATCACTGAAGATATTGGTATTCCTACGTTTTTATATTAAAAAACCAAGCTCAGTGAGGTTAGGAAACTTGCTGTGGGTCAAAGCTTCTAAGATTCAGAGCTGAGCTTTGAATCAGGACTTTTATATTTCCAAGCCCATGCTGACTCCATTATACTAGGCTTTATAATTTGATTAATATAATTTTTTAAAAAGTTATTTGTGATGATATGTAGAATAAAAAGGGAGTTGACTATGAATTAAAACATTCTTATATCATTTGTAAATTTCCCCACATATAGGTTTTATTTTGTCAGGGCCTTTAATACCACGTAGGACTATTTAGGGCTTTAATCAGCTTTCTGCTGATTAAAATGCTTTGAACTTATTAACTGATAAATGATATAAATATGTTCTTGTGTGGAAACATTGATTAGACTTCAAGAAGAATTTAGAAAAAATAACTTCATATGCAGAAACACTATTACAGTTGCTATAAAAACTTAAAAAGAAAAATAATTTTGCTACATAATTTTAGACGAGTTAACCACACCATTTTGGAAACACAGAATAGTGCTCCCCCAAAGAATGTGCTCATGTATGGAGATTTTAAGGAGAAATCAGTATAATGCAGGCCTAGTTTCTGAAGTTCCACCCCAAACGTTATAGGATGGCTTATGTTTTAATTATGCAAAACATACTGAACTTAAAGATTAAAGTGTTGCTTTAATTTCTGTCAGATATCTTGAATGTTATTATAAAATATTTATATACTATCTTTAGAAATTAATTACTAAGAAGCAAACTAACATTCCAAAATGTAGTTGTTTTGATCTAGATAAAGAATACAAAAGCAATCGTAATATTTATATCTCTATACATATATTTAACATGATATCTTGAATGTTATTATAAAATATTTATATAATGTCTTTAGAAATCAATTACTAAGAAGCAAATTAACACACATTCCAAAATGTAGTTGTTTTGATTTAGATAAAGAATACGAAAGCAATCATAATATTTATATCTCTATACATATATTTAACATTCTATTAAAATAAGAAAACCTAATATTAGTCTAAAATAAAGCATCCTGAATCTAGAAGCCACATTGGCAAAGTTGCTTATGAGCTGCATCCAAATAATGCTGACTCTAGTTAAGTACATGACAATCTCTCACCCATTATTTTATATATTTTCATCTATCCTTATTTCTAGAAAGGATTTGAGGTATATAAAAATAATAACAAAAATACAATGAAATAATTGAAATAGTACTATGTGTGCAAGAGCCATACAATGATAATCATACTAGGATCTGAGAGCTAAATCAATTCAGTTGGCTATAGGATTTAGCTTTCAGTTCCCTAGGTGCCAGACAGAAAGAAAAACATGACGAGATACTTTTGTCTTACTTTCCAGTAATAGGAAGCATATAAGATCATTAAGAGAACATTTTCATAATATAAATTCTGAGAAATACTTGTATTTTTGTAAAGCACTTAACCAAATATGACTAGCATATAGTAAATACTCATATAATGATAATATAGTAATGAATGCAAATAAATGAAAAATTAAGTAAATAAAAAAGAATTCATCTTGAGTATTTTCATATAATAGTCATTGACCAAAATAAGGAGCTATGTCTTTAATTCAAGCTTATAATAGATATGTGGGCAATCACATCTGCTTATTTTTTAATACTGATCCTTGATAACAAATTAAGGACATAGTATTTTACTACAATATTGCGAATGTGTACTTTAAATACCACAGTTTAAAGATGTAAATTTGATCAGTATTAGAGAAGACAATAAAATAGATTTCACTGAACGTACATTTAGAATACCAAGACTTTTGGCAGATCATTACAAGAAAGCTTTTAGCAAATAACTTGACATTAACTACTGCTGAGTACTCAAAATAATGTCAAGTAGGTATCAACCATGTGCTTTAGCTGAGGTAGCATAACTGGTATTTTATTAGAAAATGATTGAACTTAATGAGTATTCCATTGCAAGTGAAGGGCCATGCATGTTTGTGTGGAATAGATAAAAACCTTTTGTCTACCAGAAGGCTTACCATGTGATGTAGATAGATAGTCATTTATCTTGGATATGTTTGGGTTAATTTTTGTAGTCACGATCACAGTCAGACATGAAGTAATAATTTAAGTCCCATTGTGAATTTTAAGATATGCATATATTTTGACAAAAAGTTCATGTAGCTGTGCAATGCAAATCTTCATTTTCTTTGGTTCTAGGCCTCTTCTACTCTCTTCTGATTCCATGTTCATTTGATTGGGAAAATGTTATCCTTTTGTTCTCCCCTGTGGTGCAAATATGTTCAATATCAGCTAATCTAATCCTTAATTTATTTGACTTTGGCACTCCAAAACTATCTGCATATAATTTTTAAGAATTAATTTGTATGTTGAAGTTTTTTATAATCAAGTTTAGAGTAGCTATAAGATATAGGTAGATTAAATTACTATCGGTGGTCCGAAGATCATATGAGAAAGTAAATTCCCAAAGCTTTTCTAGAGTCCATTACTTATGCTTCATTTTATCTTTTATACATATAGAAAGCATGTGTATTTGTTTCATGGAAATGAATTAGCTCTTATACTTTAATAAAAGATGATCTGTCATCTCTTCCTATTTAATATTTGGACTTTGATTTGAAGTTTATGATCTAATTCATTTTGATCATGTCAAAAAGTTATGGAGAGATAGTGTTTTGTGAATTTTTAAATGATTGAATATAAGAAAGCTGAATCCCAATATAATTTATACCTTGAATATTTTTGTGCATATTCTGAGTTCGGTATATAAAATTAAAATTAAAAGATCTAGGGTTGATGCCTCAATGCTGAGTTTCACTGTATATACTAACAACTCAATTTTGCCAGAATGCATTTCATTGGCAAATATAAAACACGTTTCTAGCTTCACATATCCTTAAATCTATATGTTTTGATATAATTCAACTTTTACAAAGTTTTAAAATTAAAACTTTTCAGATAGGCAGAGAACTAAAATAAAATATTTAGCTATTTAGTAGATTTCCAAACATTTTTCTACTATACTTCTAATATAACAATATTTACAAATTTTGCATGTGCTCTCATCTGTTTTGTATAATCCAAATCTCATTTGATTATCTCAAATTCTCTTAATAATCATTTACATGTATGAACAGTCAAGGATAGTCTCAGGAATACATATAATTTTTGTAGTTTTCTACTCAGCAAAAGACAAATAAAAATATTTCCCCTTGACTTTTTATCTATCTTTAACTAAGTTTTATTCTACTTTTTGTGGGGAAGAATAATGGTAATGTTTAGCAATTCTCATGCTTTTATGATAACATCACCAAACCAATGGATATAATTTGTGTTTACATAAAGGTAAAGCAATTACTGATAAAGTTATATTCTGATGTTTGAGCTAGCAAGTACTAGGGAAATGTCTGTCGAGAGTAATTAGATAAACAGAGTAGTCTTTTTTTTTACTGTTAATGGGGCTCTTCATACTTTGAGACCGAGCTATTTTGATCCTGGTTAAGGCTGGAAGAGAAAAAATACTTCTGCTGCTAATCACTGAAACCTTTTTAATTCTGGCACTGATGCATTCTTCAAAAATAGCAATATACCCACACCTACACTTTTTTTTTTTCCTCCAGGACTACAGAGTTAACATCTTCCTGAGACAAAAATGGAATGATCCCAGGCTGAAGCTCCCTAGTGATTTTCGGGGCTCGGATGCATTGACAGTGGATCCCACAATGTACAAGTGTCTGTGGAAACCTGATTTATTTTTTGCAAATGAAAAAAGTGCCAATTTTCATGATGTAACGCAGGAAAATATCCTCCTCTTTATTTTTCGGGATGGAGATGTCCTCGTCAGCATGAGGTACACTTTTATCTTCAGTGTTTGTACATTTATATTTTCCTTTTAAAATCAGTGTATCACAGAGAAATGTGTTAAATGACTTCTAAGACCTCTTTCTATTTTCAGGTTATCTATTACTCTTTCATGTCCGTTGGACTTGACCTTATTTCCCATGGACACACAACGTTGCAAGATGCAACTAGAGAGCTGTACGTAAATGAGACACTAAATGACTATAGGAACAAAAATGTTTAAAATTTCTAGACAATGCATTCTACTAATATCTTAAATAACAATGGTAAAACTAATGCTTTTAATTAAAAATAGTCATTAGGATAGTTTATTTAGGAAAATTATAATTAATCTTTCACTCTATTAATTGTACTAAAACAGATCCTTTTGGTACTACTTTTTGATTTCAATTAAATTGATGTAGGTCTACACTTGTAACTATTTCAATTACCATTTTCATTTGAAGTAGTAATATAGGCAAGATAAAGGAGAATATTATATTCTAATAACTTTTTGATGTTAAAACTATATTTTTAGAGCAGAAAATTTGGAAAAAATTTAAAAAATGTTATCTGACTTCTACTAAGCATTCACTTTCTATAGATGTATAAAAAATGATTTTTTACAAAATTGGATTTTCTGTGTTTCTATGATTATATATTTTTCAGGAAATAAAAGATGTACTAGATGTGTTAACTAAAATAATTATTTATCTCTAAAACATATTCATTAATTTACTATGATGCTTATCTTTTGAAAATAAAGCCTGAAAAATTAACTCTAATGTAAGAAATCTTTAGCCCGAATACCTATATACCATGACCTATTTCTGCAGAGAATAAACAATAGTAACCTTGTAAAATGTGTTGTATAAGCTTGCTAAATGATATGCTTTAAAGTTATTTGGTAATCATTTGCTTATTTTTTTTTAAATTACTGAACCTGGATACTAAATTTGAACAATATAATATTTATTGCTTTCTTTCTATAAGATGAGATTTTCCAGATGTAAGCGTATGTATGTCCATATTGGTGTATGCGTTGTACATATGTGTACCTGCGTGTCAGTATGTATTTGTATAAAAAATTCCAACTGTTTATATACAATTATATTACCAGAAGAACTAAAGAATTGCTTTAAAAAATATGTGCACATTAGAGTTGAACAGCGAGTTACTATATGATACAAAACCCTGTGTGATCTTGAATAGTAGCCACGTTACCTAAGGCCAAAATATATGCTTCCGAATGCTATAATGGTGTCCATTTGGGGGATTGTTTATTGCTGTCCCGTGGCAATGTTGCTCCTTTAGAGAAGTTTGTCGTTAACTTTGGAAAAAAAATATTTCGATGCTTACATTTCTTTAAAAATTTCTAGGTAGCATATTTCATGATTGTAAATGCATATATTCAGAAATCAAGTATCACTTCTTTATTACTTTTTTTTACTGATGACATTTCAGAATTCTGACAAAGTAATGTACTACTGTATATGACACTTTAGGATTTTAACTATTTGCAGTATACTGATTATTTTAACTTGTTCTTTCTTTAACACAACTATCTGTAACTTCAGTGCTAATATTTTCATCAATGGCCATAGATTTTACATTTCTATATTCTTACAACAATTTCGTATAAGTCCCTGTTTTCTTAACATTTTGATATTTAATACTTAAATTATTAAAATATTTAAAAAGCATTAATAATTATATTTCAAACTAATATTTTTATTTATTTTTGCTTATAGTTGGTTACACCACTGACGATTTACGATTTATCTGGCAGTCAGGGGATCCTGTTCAATTAGAAAAAATTGCCTTGCCTCAATTTGATATTAAAAAGGAGGATATCGAATATGGTAACTGTACAAAATACTATAAAGGCACTGGTAAGTAATATTGTGTAAGTAAAACTAAGTCTTATTTTAAAGATTCATTTTAATATTAATATACAGTAAGGGCAGAATAGAAGAAAACTAGTTAAAAAATAAGGTCAATATTGATAAGTAGTTTATATTTACATTTATGTATTTAAATCTCTCATAAAATTACATTCACTGAAGTTTTTAAAAATTTTTTTATTACTGGAGAATTTTGATTTTCTGTAAGTAATTCTGGGTAGGAAGAGGTTTTCAGTTTTTACTTCAGTACTATGAACTTTGCCAGACTGTGGTTCTCATAGATGTTGCCAAGAAATTCTACTCCTAGTAAGATTCAACTTGGGTCAAACATTATAGATATGAACAATGTAATCCATATATACTGGTCTATTGTCTTTTGGGCAGTTTTTAAATACTGGTTGACCCATATTCCTAACTTTAAAAAGCATCGATCTTCATGTTGTACAAGAAACAATAAATGTGAAATAATTGGACATCGGTAAATATTCTTGTAAAATATTCTTGGCCTAGGTTATGGAATAGCTAGTTATGAAAAGCACGACAAACTAATATCGTTCATTAAACTGCGTCAAGCTTTTATATCAATGAAAATACAGTAATTACTGCAATACTTTTATAGTATGATAAATATTCAACTTTTAATTCTCTACTGATAGTTATAGGTTATTGAGCAGTTTTATATTCTTAAATATAGTGTTATTTCACTTAATATAAATAAAAGTGATTGGATTTTGATTATTATCATTGAATTATTAATACTAATAATCAATTCAACTTGTAAATACTACACAGTTCTACTTGTATATTAGGAAGTAAATCAAGATATAGATATTCGGGAATAGATATAAAGTTTACATTTATTTTAACATTTATTTTGACTTTGCAAAAATAAAAATATATGTTGTAATATGTAGAATTTAGAGAGATCAGATGTTTGAGCTAACATGCTGCCTTCATGATATCATCAAGGACAAAAATATAATTTAAAACATTCCTGACAATATTAAAAGCTAGAGTGAATATTTGCAATATTAAGAGTATTATAATAAGGGCAACACTAGAGAATTTGGAAATAAAGTTCATTTAAACATCTGTGGTTGTTAACCTTCAAATAAAATAACCGATAGTCCTTAGGGACTGTTTTTATGTAGGTGTTATGTAATCTATTTAGATATAAATGTTATATATAATTTCTTAATAACAGATTAGCAAATAGTCCTTAGGAACTATTTACATATATTTTATATAATCTAGTTACATTATGTTATGTAACCTGTTGATTTATTTGAAGGTCAACAATCACAGATAACTTAAACTAACTTTATCTCCAAATTGCCTAGTGTTACATTCATTATAACACTGCCAGAGTCGAGGGACATGGAAGGATGGGTGAAAAAGTTGATGGGGAATAAGAGGTATAAACTTCTAGTTATAAATTCAGTAGGTCATGGACTTGCTGACCGTCGCCAGGTAAATCAGTGTCAGCCATTTTTATTTAAGTGCTTAAGGCATTAAATATTGTATTTAAATGTTAACTGAAAAAATTAAAACATTTAAAAAATAAACATCTGGAAATACTCCAGTGCTAGAAGAATATTTCTGTCACTTTTCTTTCTCGTCAGCAAAGGGTATTAAGAGGTTGCTCATAATTTGTGATTAATTTGGAGGAGTAGTTGATGTCATGGCAGCTCTAGGATTATGTTGAAAAACAATTTCTGCATGTGTTTCAGCTTCTGAAAATGAAGTTTTTTTTCTTAATTAGACTATGTTTGAGGGCCTGGATTAGAGGAAGGGAGAGAATTGAGAGGAATGTCAGATGATTGCACTTTATAATCTCTTATCCATATAGATTGAAAACACTTACTTTATATCCTTTATAATATTTATTTCCAATACTTTCCTAATTTTTAAGACTTAAATATGCATATGAGATATTGTAAACTGCCATCCGTTCTAGATAAGTAGTACACATAGCTGAAAAATTATACTGACAATATGTAGTCCAGGAGTGTTTTTTTTTTTTAGACTTGTTCTACTTTGATTTACTGCTCCCTGTGTAATTCCTTTAAATCATTTGCTCTGAGAATACCCAGGGATAATGAAAAGTTTAAGTCCATTGCAAATTGTCTGAACAAAGGCTTAAAAGCTGAAACAGTGACACAGTAGAGCTGAATGTGATGTCTGTTTCTATGTCGATGAAGTTGCCAAAGGTCAGGTGAAACCGGTCCCATAATGTTAACCTTTTAGATAACATCAATTATATATATTTACAGAAGAAAACCCTGGTTTTGTGTGTTTACTTTGTGAAATTGCCTCACATAGAAGTGACATAACTTATAGGCAGGCACATTATTGATTTTCGCAGTTGTAGGTGGGTGAGAACCTCATACTTTTAATGTTTGTTTCTGACAGGGTACTACACTTGCGTGGAAGTCATCTTCACCCTAAGGAGACAGGTCGGGTTTTACATGATGGGTGTCTATGCCCCAACCCTGCTGATTGTGGTTCTCTCCTGGCTGTCCTTCTGGATCAACCCAGATGCAAGTGCTGCCCGAGTGCCCCTGGGTAAAGTGTGCCGTGCTTCTCTCCATGTCAGGAATTTGTCACGTCTTCATTCACCAACTATTTCATCAACTGTTTTGAAATAATGAGTCTGGGAATTGATGGCAACATTTTTTTTTATGACTTCCTTCAAACCTTGACACTGAACTAGAATTTCTCCATGTGTCTGTATTTTATAGTTAAACTAAATTTTACTCTTTGTGTTCTTGGGGTATTACCATTTATCCTATCTGGACTTATGAAATAATTTTTAGTAAGTGATATTCACTTCCTAAAGTCTAAAATAACTAAAGCCTAAAATTCCCAATAGTGCCAAAATTAAAAACAAGTAATTTCTATAGAAATCTTTTAAGTCATATTATATACTATCTCACACTCTTAATCAAGGAATATGGAGTATAATTTATCTTTTTAAAAATGACTTAGCATCATTTTTCTAAGCATCAGTTATTGTGTGCTATATATCATCAGCTATACCTAGAGAGCTTAAGTGCAGGTTTTCCATCCTCCCCAATTTGTTATTTTTAATGTTCTGTGACAGAACCACCATTAGCCAGACTTGAACATTGTATCTGTATAGAAGTTACCACTCTGTGTTTGGGAAATAATCAAGAGCCCATTTAATGGGTAAAGTGAACAAACTTCAAACTAAGGACATTGTAACAGAACGTTTCATTTGTAGTGTTTTAAAATTTTTCATTACTCTGTGTGTGTGCGTGTGCGTGTGCGTGTGCATGTGTTCTGAATATCGCTTGTAACTTACATAGGTAAGGATGTGATATGTAACTTCATAGTGGCTAATTGGTTGCAGCATTTCATTTTTTTCTTCCATCAGAAAAGCCTCGTAAAAAGAAAACTCCCTCCTGATTTATTGGAGGAATTCAATGAACTACAGATTTTAAAGAGTAGGAAACCAGGAAAGAAATGATGAAAATGACAGCTTTATCTGAATAATAAGAAATTTGGTGGTTTACATCTTAAGAAAAACCAAATCTATATCAAAAATGTGGAAAATTTTATTCTAATGGTCATATATCTGTGATGAAGACAATGACAACTGACAGATTAGTTCTTCAAGGGATGAGAATTAACTATGCAGTATAATGTTCTGGGAATAAAACACCCAAAACTAGATTTAAAATTTTAAGCTTGTCAAAAATATTATGCATATCCCCAAAATAGTCAATATTTTTTGTTTATTAGAAATATCTTTCTGTCATGCAGTGATATAAATTGAAATGTCAGGCTTCCAAGGGTAATTTGGAGTTAGCTTTTCATATATGGTTAATATTATGTATAGCAGAATTTTATTCTTTCCCTGAAAAACTGGAATCATTTGTTTCTCTGAAGTAACCAAGAATGTTCTTTACTTCGTCTTTTCTATTATATTTTTTAAAATTGTGACCCTTATCAGAAAATTGCTTTATATGTTCTATTTGTGTTCCAATCTAGTTGTTCATGGGAGAAAATTCAGCTCTAGAACTGTCTAAAATAATGCTAGAAAATGAAATAAACTTCATTGCTTCTTCAGTGATATGATAGAATAGTTTTAGATATCTTGAATATTTAAACCAGATACAAATTATGATTTTTAAAGCATGGCTTAAATTTATATTTCTTTGTTTAAAATGCTGAGTATTTACAAATATCCACAACCACATGTAATAATGCTTACATAATAAGTATATATGTATTATTTCTTCCACTCTTTGAGCTTTAAATGGACCTGATGAATTGTTCATGGCCCTTTGGAAGTTTTCAGAGAGAGATTAGTCAGAGTAAGGATTGCAGGAGATTTCACAGGGGTAAACAGCAACTCTAACTCCTACTTCTGTTTCTGTAGGTATCTTTTCAGTACTCAGCTTGGCCTCTGAGTGCACAACCCTTGCTGCTGAACTGCCCAAAGTATCCTACGTGAAGGCTCTTGATGTATGGCTCATTGCTTGTCTTCTCTTTGGGTTTGCTTCCCTGGTGGAGTATGCTGTTGTTCAGGTGATGCTGAATAACCCCAAACGAGTTGAAGCAGAAAAAGCCAGAATTGCTAAGGCTGAGCAAGCAGATGGGAAAGGTGGAAACGCAGCTAAAAAGAATACTGTGAATGGTACGGGGACTCCAGTTCACATTAGCACTTTGCAGGTAAGAATGAAATCGCCCAGCGAAATCATTTCCCCCATCATGGCTCTCTGCAGTGTCAGGAGAGAGACATTTTTCTGTGGGTTTAATAAATGTTTGATAGAATTGGTATTCACTCATTTTTCTCTCACAGATGTAAAGGAACTAAGGCCAACATAATTTTTGGAAAAGATATATGAAACACTTAGGTTACAAACTAATTAAGAAAAAAAAACACATCTTATCAAAATTCCAGGAATTTGATAAGGTGTTGATTTAATGATACAACTCTCCTTTGATGGTCACCATCCAATGTGGAAGCCTTGCCAGAATTACAGACCTCCTCCTGTTTCTCATTTGAAAAGCTTTAGTGAAAGGCCAGAGGGCTTTTGGAGAAGCAGTGTTCTTCCACCAACACTGAAGGCTTAGGGAAGTCATGCTCTGGATTAAACCCCCTGTTCCCCATCAGGTTAGAGAGCTTCACACAGAACATGACCAGCAGGCTACTTACTCATTGGATGCCTGGCCCGCAGGGATACTATCCCCATAGTTTGGGATCTGTCCACCCCAGTGGTGAGTAGGGAAGAATTGGACAGGTTTAACTGCCTTACATTGTCTTGCACTTGATAATAGGTCTAAGAATAGTGGGCAGTGTTTCTAGGGTCGGTTACTGATAAATCCTGGAGCAACAGGATGCTTCACGGATTAGGATAGCTGTTCACTTAGCCTAAAGTGCCCCTGATTGATGCCCTCTGGTCAGGAAGACTAGTAAACCAGGGGGACCATTTCCATTGAGGATCTATACTATCCTATAATCTTGAAAATTTGCCTTCTTTGCCTATATTCTGGCTTCATACTATATCAGTTTGTTGAGTGCCATCATTCACCATACCTAGAATGTTAGACAAGTATGTCCCATATATTTCTTTAGATGCAAAAACTAGTGAACAGTATGGTGTAACCCATAGCTTTTTGTTGTTGTTGTTGTTTGGTCTTTGCAAAGATTAAGTATGAAATTTCCATAAATGCAGAGCTGTCATGGCCTTAAAGAAGTCATGTATTTGACATATCTAACCCCTCCATTTACATCACCCCATTTTTACTTCTTCCTCATGTTTCCAACCCACTAATCTTCCCACCCTCGAACTTAGACCCTGGTCAAGAGATCTGGCGACAGAAAGCAAAGATGTTCCATAGAGCAGGTGCTTGATTTCCAGGGGTGTCACAATCAGCTCCATTCTCTGGTATGTTCTGGGGCCTCAACGACTGCAGAAATTCTCTAGTATGAGAAAACAGCCATGTGCAGATAATCTTGGAATTTTAATAGACTCTGTGAACTGGGGTATTGAAGGAAGGAGATGTACTGGAACTAGATTTTTGAAGTACTGTAGAACATATCAAGATTATTTATGAACATAAAAATAAGGATAAATAGGATCCAGAATATTAGAGTAAATTATATTATTTTAAATTTATCTCTCAAGCATTAAAATAATTACTTAATGTATAAAAGTTCAACATATTTAAGAACTTCCTTATTTTAATTCTCTGTTTTTAGTTGCTAATAGAAGCACACATGTCTAGATTCTGGAATTGCTGACATTTTGTTACAAAAGTCATAGAGTGATGCTTAGAGAGTTTAAAAGTTGACCAGAAAATGTACTATCCAGAAATAAACGTAAATTACTTATATCTTACATGCCAAAATGTAATTTCCAAAGTTAACATTGTACTTATGTAATATTTGTATCCCGAGACAGGCTTTAAAATGAGAATATGAATCCAAAAATAACTTAGCTTTAATATACACATTAAACTTATAGCAAATGTGTAAGTTTGATAAATTAGTACGATTACTACACATTGTCATGTGAAAGAAAATATAAAAAAGGAAATTTAAAATTTTTTGCCTTTTTAAATTACTGGTTTTGCTGTGATAAATATAATTATAGTTTTAGTTTCAAAACGTATTTGTTCCAGTATATTTTGCTTTTCAGAACACAAGCTTTTGCTGAATAATTTCAATTAGGTGATATGTCATTTATTTTTAGATAGAATAACAATATTAACCAAAGGAAATAATGAAATTTGGATTGCAGAAAAATTTTGATGCCGTTTTTTAAAATAATATTGTACTTGCTAAGTAAAGAAATTATCAAGTGTGAGAAAGATCAATGATTTTTAATCTAGCTTTTAGAAAGGAATTTTCATAATTTGCCTGCACACAAATATATGTCATTTATAACTGCCTAGATTTTCCTCCCTAAATTTAATACTTCCTTAGCTATTCCAATATTTTTGTTACTAATTTACTATTTGCTCATAGGTTTCTCTTTTATTCAATAGATACAGTTGAGGACCTACTGTTATTAGTATCATCCTATTCTCAAGACATAGTATATGCCATGTGTTATTTACAACAAAGGTGTTGTGAATAAAAGCAAAATAATATCCACGCCTACAAATTTGAATAAATTAAAAATAAAAGCTGCTGTCCACGCATGAATGACATAGTTGCTCTTTTATGGTAACAATGTTTTTAAAATTAAGGATCGATTTCAAGTTGGTACAATATATAGTGATTATTCCTTTCTGAACATATTTTTAGCATCTGTAGAAGATATCATAATCACCATGAAATAATACCTAAGTCTTCTGACCAAGAAATATCATTTAAGGTGATTTGCTTTTAAATGGGTGCAGATGCAAACTGAAAAGGACCAGAAGGAAAATTTTAAAGGCTAAAATTGAAAGCATTAGAAAGTGTTTACATCATTTTTTTATTCTTGACAGTCTCATTATCACACTATCTCATTTTTGGTACCAGTAATTGTCAGAAGTGACAAGTTTATATGAAAGTGAGACACAAATTCATATGTGGAAAAAATGAGAAATTGTAAATTAGAGGTTTACTCTTAAGAAAATGTTAAGTACGGTTATTGTTTTATTTTAAGCAGTTTAACCTCTCTTCATGTGATACTATAATTATTCAAAATAGTATTTATATTGTAAATTCTTTTGCACTTTCATATACATATGATATGATACTTATGTGTAGAGAATATTAACTAAAAAAGAAAGTTATGTTTGTGTAAAATCTCTGATAAATGGATCAATATGAGATCAGCCAACTAGTTAATGAATCCTGAGCTATTTAACTAACCTGAGAACTTCTCAGTAGGAAACAATCTTTTACCTTATTCAGTTGGGTCACATCATTAAAAATTACTTCTGTAGTAGAGGTTTTCTGTGACAATTCACACACACATGTATGCACACACACACATACAACCCTACTGATTTAAAATACAAGATCTTCGAATACATCTTTGGAAAAGGTTTTAATAAATGATTAAAAAATTAGTATAAGCAAATAGAGGCTTTTTAGAGAGTTTTCCATGTTATTATTTTAACATTCTATCAGAATAAACATAACATTCTATGTCTACATTGAATAAATTATATAGATAAAATTCTAAAATCATTAAAATTGCTGGCAGAATCTAAGAATATGTTTATGTAAATAAAACAGATGAGAAAATTTGGACTATTTATGCGTGACTTAGTTATGATATATAAATTTGGATTCTTGTTTAGTTACTTACAGGTACTAAAACCACACATACACATGAAGCCACATATAAAATACGATTTAAAGCAAATGCATTTCTATATAACTACATTTGGCCTTCTTTGTGAAAAAGTAAAAATGACTGAGAAGCAGTCATGCTCTCTTAGTCTATTGGCAGAAGCTAGAGTACTCCTTTGTTTTGATAAGTGGTTCAAAAGCAAAGTTAGTGCCTCGAAGGCTTGTGGAGTGAAGAATTCGAAATAGAGAAAGACTGGCATACTCACAGTGTCCCAGATTTTGAAAAACTGCTCTGATAGAGGATAATGCAAAGATTTAATATTTAGAGTCTGGTCTCAACTTCTATTCCAATCAAGGTAGTGATGTACCATTACAAAAATTCACTAATACATGCTGAGCCTGACATAGTTCTCAAACAGCCCTGGAAAACCAGAACTTTAAATATGATCTTCTGTCTGGAACACTTACAGGGAAGGTATACGAGTACAAATGTGTGAGTCATTGTATATGTGCATGGTGATGGAGCTTAGATGACAGATTGCTTACTAAAAATGGCCTTTTAAAATTTCAAATTGGGAAATTTAAATAGAAAGCCTGGAAATTTATCTGTCTCTGTCTGTCTGTCTGTCTATCTATCTATCTATCTATCTATCTATCTATCTATCTATAAATGATGTTCCAAAATCACATGTGTGACTTTGTTCAGATAAAAGACAGTGTCCTGGTACCTGAGTGACTTCTGGAGAATCATTTGTTTTATTTCTTACATTAAGCATCATTTTTATTCAACCATAATCTAGTTCATGTAAATAGAGCCTATATAACTAGTCAACTTATTATACTAATTAGGAAAAAAAAAATGAAAAAAGAGTAGCTACAGTCTCCTAACAGTATACAATAACATAGTTTCCCTTTTCAATAAAAACAGTGAATGTTAACAGTGAGTATTTGAAAGGTGAATGACAGAACTCAGGGGTAAGAACAGATGATTAAGCAGTAGAGTTAAGATCTCTCCTTGCTGTGTATCTTATACCCCACTGAGGTTAGCCTATATCTCTGTTCCAAGAGCATTTCAGATTGCTAGACAAAGTTCAGTGTGAAATCATTATTTTGTATATTTGGGAATTAAATTTAATAATTCAGAGATTAATCAATGGACTATCTCTATAGCATATGATCTGGCTGAAATATGCGCAATTTCATTAGATTCTCTGAGTGTGGTTGGCTAATTCAACTTTAGCCAACATGTTAGGAATGCCTGGTAAATCTTCGGTTCATGATAATTGTGACCATCTTTTAGTTCTTATTTGTGAGTGTGGGTTAGAGACACAGTTTGTCTCATTGGAGTAGTAAATACCTTAGTCATTTATAAACCACCCTATTTAGAAATATGGTCCACAGTGAAGTCAAATGTTAAAAGTACAGGAAGATTCTCTGATTCATACACTGTAGTAATATGGTCTGTGTTATGGTTAAATATTGGACTTTTATTTATTGGCCTTTTAATTGAGAACTCACAAGCCTGAGAGCACCTAAGACAAATGTTTATTTGTACTTAGATCTCTTAACATAAAATAACCTATCAAAAGTTTATTCCATAACATAAGCCTTGTTACATAGAATACATTTTAGAGTTAAATGTTCAGGAAGTCTGGTGGTTTAGTCAGTTGACTATTATATCTGATTTTTAAAATATCCCTTTGAAGAGATGTGTTTTATAAATAGAAAATTCTAAATACACTATCATGTTTAACTTTTATTTTCAGGTTGGTGAGACCAGATGCAAAAAAGTTTGTACTTCTAAGTCTGACCTGAGATCTAATGACTTCAGCATTGTTGGAAGCTTACCAAGAGATTTCGAATTATCCAATTATGACTGCTATGGAAAACCTATTGAAGTCAACAATGGACTTGGGAAATCTCAGGCAAAGAACAACAAGAAGCCGCCCCCTGCCAAACCTGTTATTCCAACAGCGGCAAAGAGAATTGACCTTTATGCAAGAGCGCTGTTCCCTTTCTGCTTCCTGTTCTTCAACGTTATATATTGGTCTATATATTTATGATAAATCTTTTCCATTTATATAAAATAAAATCCCATTTCATTATGACTAACCTCATTCATAAATGCCAATCTGTGAAAAAAAAACTGCATTTTCATAGCAATATATTGCATTTTGGATGCCATTTGATTGTAAGAAAAATGTGGCACCTTAATTTTGAATGGCAGCATGGTCTTGTTACATCTGTGCTCTAATAATGATGTATATATGTATAGCGAACATACTGCTTTAGGAATACATGAAGGATAAGCATACTACATAAAATAAAATCCAAACAATTTTCTTTAGTTAATGTATATTGCAAATACTTCAGATGATTCTGGTAATAAAACAATGTGCACGCTGAATCCTGTTATGATCACCATTCTAATGTATGTAGTATTTCAAATTTCCTTCCTTGTAACTTTCAGAGAAAGCCATCTTATTCTTGTATAATTTTAGATGGTATTATCACAGATTAAGCAAAAATTATATTACATATTGTTTAAACTTTGTAAGTAGAAATATATCAGCTATAATTATGTGGGCTCCATGGAGAAATAAAATTCAAACAATGACTAATTTGTAAAATTAGCTCATTTTAAAGTGTGCCTGTGTTGTCAAAATGCCAGAAAATAAAACACAGTAAGCACTTTTGAAACAAAGGGAAGTCTGGATTTATGTAAATTCATACTCAATTCTGGCTTCTGATAAAATAAAAATAAAGGATAGATACACTGATCAAATATTTCTGATAAAAGAAATTCTATTTAATCCACCTTAAAATTTAAATATATTTTCATGTATTAATTTTGTTGATACAGAGTATACAAAATCATTGTGCCTTAAAAGAGTGATATATATTTTAAATTGGAATATAGTACTGGATATGTGATTTCACATCATTTTTAAGAAACCCAGAGGAAAATACCCTATTACTAGAAGTAACTGGAGTTGGGAAAAAAACCCATAATCATTTAAGAATTTTAACTTCTTTATTTTATTAAAATATTTACATATTTTTAAGCAAAATTATTTTTTCTGAAGTCATTTCTTATTTCTATATTTATTTGAATATTTTTAGATTTGTTATAAAACATTTAAAGTTTAAGTAAATAATATCTTTGTTCATGTTAAGGCTCACTTCTACTTATGTTATCTTTCTTGCTCAAAGTCTTGCTACTTAGATTTACTTACTTTGATCTTGTTTCAACCTGAAAACGGGCACCTTTTGGTCTATAAGACTCCCATTCTTGCTAATATCACAGCCATTGTAACTTTTTTATTTCTCATAGCTAAAATTAGAACTGTCAGTAATTAACATAAACATGAGACCAAAGTAATATATTTACATTATTTGGAAAGTTTTGTTGTAGCTGAGAGTTTATATGGTCAATTCGATAATAAAATGTGTTTAAATATTTTTTATGCTAATTGCCATATGTAAATCAAGGCTATTTTATTGAAGACTTTAATTTTTAAAAGATTCTCACTGATTACTAAATTTAAAAAAGAGAGAGATGTGATCTAATCCTATATAGTCCTTCAGCACCCGTAGTTACAAAAGTTTAGCCATATGAATAGGTTTAAAATGCTACAAGTAATCCTATCGATGGACTTCAATATCCTGCTAGGACCCCAGCAATAACATTTTAATGGAACTGTGGTAAGAAAAAATGTGTCTTGGATAGGACTTAAACCATTTAATTTTTTATTTATAATAATTATAGTTGCTTATATTCTCCTTTATACTTGCAAGTTTTATTTATATTGGAGGTTTGATTTAGTTTTAAGTGGAAAATGTACCAGATGTAAGACATGTCTCATTATATAAGAATTTATTTATTGAAAATAATGTGAATGAATTTTTTGTAATATAACATTATAGCCTCTTAAGATCAATTTTAATACCCAAATATATATAAATAGCTATCCCACGATTAAGTGTGTATGTATAACTATGAATGGAACATTAGATAATGATCATAACAAAGAAGTACAATCAGTGTCCACTAACTGTTGCTTTATAATTGTTATCTCAAGGATTTGGTCACTTAGTCCCAGAGTAGTTCTGATATGTGTATTTGAAACATTATGTCTTTCTAACTGTTGCTTTATAATTGTTATCTCAAGGATTTGGTCACTTAGTCCCAGAGTAGTTCTGATATGTGTATTTGAAACATTATGTCTTTCTAACTGTTGCTTTATAATTGTTATCTCAAGGATTTGGTCACTTAGTCCCAGAGTAGTTCTGATATGTGTATTTGAAACATTATGTCTTTCTAAGAGTCTTGCAGTATATTTACCTGGATATTCAGTATCTCCAAAATAAAAATTATCTTCTCACAAATCCCTTGTTTTCTATTTCTGTCAAAGTCATCACTATTCGTCACTCATATTAAATCTTTCTCATGCTGTATATGTACACTTTCAAGTACCAAGTACTATAGATTCTCCCTCTTACACCCGTTATCTCCTATTTCTGCTGTCACCACCCTAATTCAGTTTCCCATTCTTTTTTTTTTTTTTAATTTTTTAAATTAAACTTATTGGGGTAACATTGGTTAATACAATTATATAATTTTCAGGTGTACATTATAATTTGACATCTGTATATTCTATCGTGTGTTTACCACCCAAAGTCCAGTTTCCTTCAGCTACCATATATTTGATCCCCTTTACCCACTTCACCCTCCCCCTACTCCCTATATTTGACCCCCTTTAACTATTTACTTACCCCCTCTTCCCCCACCCTCTATCCTCTGGTAACCACTAGTCTATAGTCCATGTCTTTGAGTCTCTGTTTGTTTATCCTATTCATTTGTCGCTTTTAGGTTTAAATCCTACATATAAGTGATATGTGATTTTCAACTTTTTCTGTCTGGCTTATTTCGCTTAGTATGATTATTTCAAGGTCCATCCATATTGTTGCTAATGGCAGTATCTCATCTCTTCTTATGGCTGAGTAATATTCCATTGTATATATGTACCACAGCTTCTTAAACCAATCATCTATCGTAGGACACTTCAGTTGCTTCCATGTCCTGGCCACTGTAAATAATGCTGCTATGAACATCAGTGTGCACTCATCTTTATGGATATGAGTTTTCAAGTCTTTGGGGTAAATACCCAGTAGAGAGATTGATGGATCATTTGGTAGATCAATTCTTAGTTTTTTGATTAACCTCCATACTGTTTTCCCTAGTGGCTGTACCAATTTGCAGTCCCACCAGAAATGTATGAGGGTTATTACTTGTCCTGTTGATCATAGCTATTCTGACAGGTGTGAGATAGTATCTCATTGTGCTTTTGATTTGCATTTCCCTAATAGCTAACGATATTAAGCATCTTTTCATATATTTGTTGGCCATTTGTATATCCTCTAGAGAGAAGTGTCTGTTCAGGTCCTCTGTGGGAGTAAAAGCAAACCAAATGAAAGGGACTACATCAAACTAAAAAGCTGCTGCTCAGCAAAAGAAATAGTCAACAAGGTAAAGAGACAACCATCTGAATGGGGAAATATATTTGCAAGCAATGCCTCTCATAAGGGCCTAATACCTAAAATACATAAAGAACTCATATGACTCAATAACAAGAAAAAAACAAACGATCCAGTTTCCCATTCTTAATCAGACTATTACGATAGTTTACAATTTCGCTCCACTATAACAATTTATTTTTGAACTAACTTTGTGATTTTCATTTTTTAATTACACAAGGAATACATGAATATCTTAATGTATTATAGAACAAACATGTATTTAGAGTAAGCATTTAAAGTTTCTGTTGTAGCATTCCTCTTTAAACTCTTCTCTCTCTTCTCAAGAGGTCACCACTGTCATGTATCTACCCAGACCTTATTCTAGGCATTTATAACCTCTATATAATTTTTAAATATATAAAGATAATTGAACATAATGGGATTTAACATAAAGGGTATTTTACCATGTGTATAGTTTTGCAATTTATTTTTCATTTAATATATCTTAGAGACCTTTCTATTTGAGGACACATTAGATGTTAATCTTCTGCCTTCTACTATTCTATAGTATGAATGTGCCTGAAATTAAGCAAGAATTTTGGTTGTTTTTCTTATGTAAAATAGTATTGCAATAAATTTCTTTATGCACATATATGTGTATTTCCATGAGGCAGATGCCAGAAATGGAGTTGCTGAATTTAAAGATGTGTACACATTTTAAATTCTGAGAGGTTCTCCCAAATTTCCCTCCAGAAAACTGCCAACGTAGATTTTTGCCATTATGTGTCCAAGCTCTCACAGTCTAGTCATCTCTTAACTTATTTTATGTCATTGACATAGTTTTATTTTTCAAAACACTTTTTTGACAATGTTCAGATGTTTAAAAAAGTTACAAAAAGTATTACAAAGAATTCCCATGTTCCATTCAACCAGATGCCCCAAATGTTAATATTTTCTCAAATTTGCTTTATTTATTCCCCAACTGTGTGTGTGCATGAGACATTTTTTCCAGAAAATTTATAATAAAGTTGCAAATCTGATGTCTCCTTATCTCTACATACTTTAGTGTATGTTTCCTAAAGCAGGACATTCTTTCATAACCAAAGTAGTACCAGGTATCGAGATCAAGAAATTAACATTGATAAAAAGCTATAATCTAGAGACTTTATTCACATTTTCCAGTTGCCAATATATTATGTAATATTTATTAACATATAAATATAAATTAATGTCATGACAATCAAGTGAACTATGTGAGACTGATTGGATCCTGAACAAAAAAGAAAACCTAAAACTACAGGTATTTTTGTTGTTGTTCAGGATCCAATCAGTCTCACATATTTCACTTGATTGTCGTGACATTAATTTCTTTATAATAAAGCTGTGATCATGTTATTCTGCTCAAACATCTTTAGTACCTTGTATTGCCCAATGAACCAAGTAAAAAATCCTCTATCTGACATAAAATTCTTTCTTACTAAGTGTTTAATTAATTTTTGCAGCTGTTTATCACATACCTCTGCTCACCTCTTAAACTCCAACTAAACCGATTTTGACCTTTATGTATCATGTTTAGCAGTAATTGGAGCACCAGGTTCAGCCAGGTCCTTATCCTTTCAGGTAAGTGATTAATTTTACGTTTCACTATTTCTCTTAAGTGAGCCATGTTTTATGTAATATCTCAAATGCTCATTTTAACTAATATGTTTTCATTCATCATTGTTTTTTGAGTCATATGGTTTTTATCTCTGTTGAATAATGAAGTTAAAATATTTCCCATTACATATGCCTTAAAAACTACTCAATTTATCATCTATATTACTGAAAATTTCAGTTTACATAAATAGGTGGATATAAAATTTTAAAGTAGCAGATGACAAAGAATTTGAAATCTTTTTTATAACCTTTAATCAAGGTTTTCTCAATAGAATGTTATTACCTCATTTTAGAACAGTAGATTTATTTCAATTATATTTTCAAATGGAATGCATATGTTTATACAATATATCAAAAATTTAGCATTCACTAACTTCTCTCTTTTTATGTAGCTACACTTAACCTTTTAAAAGGTTATGGTAAAGTTCTGTCATAATGTCAGCTACATCAGTGGAGTAAAAATACTTTGTAGACTTATGATTACTATTAATAGACAATATAGATGTCATATTCAAGGTTAGTTATACTCTTAGTGTGTGTAAGCTAATATTTTATTTTTATTACATTGTGCAGTCTACCTATATACACGTTATGTATATGCATATATGTTATTTTATTTTGTCCCTAACCAGCAAAAACAATGAGAAAATTAATGAATTCTATTTCAGTTGGAATTTCTGTACTCCAAATAAATGCATTCTCACTTCTATATGTATTTTTAAATTTCTCAAATCTCACATTCACACTCAAAACAGTTCTTTCTAAGTCCTCTCAAAGTAGAATACTAAACAAAAAAATCATAAATCAGTAAATGCTTATTGGGTGTTTAATATATTAAAGGTTTTATGTTAGCCAAGAATTGTAAAGATGAATAAAACATGAGTTCCAATCTTAAATAATAGTCAATAGAATGAGAAAAAAAGATATGCTTAATACACAAATCATTATAATATAAATCAGAATATAATGCATATTGAAAAGCATAAGAACAAACAAAATCAATCATTCGTCTAAAAGGAAAAGACCTGCTTTAAAGGAACATAAATAAGAAATACTTTAATATAGCTAAATACAGACCATTTTACTATAGATTATACAATTTTGAAGCTAGACGTTAACTACAAGAAAAATTATGAATTGTAAAGTTCAGAAATATTGTAATAGAAAATATTAAAGTGCTATTTGAATTTTATTTCCTAGTTAGCATTGCTGAGGAAATAATGAGCAGTAAAGTAAATTTTCCTTAGTTAATGATGGAATGCACTTTACCTAATGTTCATTTCTTAACTAAAACTCCCATTTAATCTTAATCCTATAACTCGAAAGGATTTTCAGTAAATCCCAATTTCCAGCCTGAGGCAATTGCAGTTCAATTAATATCATTCGCAGTGAGGCAGCCAAAAGGAGGCAGAGCCCGCCATGGTTTAGCAAGAATTGCATTCAAACTGCAGGTCCTTTCCCAATCACCCAGCCAAATGGGGATTTTATTAGTCAATTAGCATTGTCTCACCCTATTCCACTGTTGACACATAACAGAACACATAACATTTTGTGAAATGGTAAACAAGATGAAGAGGCAAATAATTTTAGCTTTTGAAAAACTCAACTTGGTTTATTGTATATTCCAGTGGGATGTTCCTTTAAGTGTTTACTAGAGTTGAAAATGTAGCAGGAGGAAAATGGAATTTACGAATAGTAAACACCCCGTCTGATTCTCTTTGAGGACTTCAATTTCATGTCATCTAGCTTTTAGGACTCTCCTCTCTAGGACTAGAATTTGCTATACAAGGGCAGCATCATATCTGCTTGCTTTACTAACAAACGTAAGTATTTTTTAAAATAAATCTATGCCAGAATCTACAAGCTTTTCAGCTACAAAGATGATCTTTAACTTATTAGCTAGGAGAATATTATATGGAACTCATTAGGAGGGAATACCTAATAAATTCTGCCTTGGACTATTATAAAGCCTCTTTCTAAACACAGCTGCACTTTTCTGGTTCATTCATTTGTATACTGAAAAGCCCTTTCATTCAAAATTCATCGAGTTTCCAATCAGTCCACTGGCATCTTAGAAGCTTTCAAATTTCTAGATGAATTAATTTAAACGTCTAAATAAAAATGCGAAATTTCCTAAACAACATATGTGGAACATACATTACATAAAAATAACCTAAGGGTCTAAAGTAAGCCAAAAGCCAATATTTTATGTA